TCACCATCAGGATTCTGACAGTGATCCACTCAGGAAACATCGACATCTCCACGGGGACCCCTCTGTCCTTTGACAACAGCCACCCCCACCCCGTTCCCACCTGGCAATCACTGATCTGCTCTCCATTTCTGGAATTTTGTCATCTCAAGAGTGTTATGTAGAATAACATTCTACTGTATGTAGAATCACACAGTATGTGACCTTTCGGGATTTGCTTTCTCCCATCAGCATCGTTCTCTGGAGATTCATTCGGGTTGTAATGTGTATCAATAGTGTGTTCTTTTTTAACTGCTCATTGGTTAGAATCCCGCGGTATGGGCCTACCACCGTTGAACCATTTCCCTCTTGAAGGACACGTTGTAGTAGGCTGGATAATGGCTCCCCAAGAAATCTAGTCCTAATCCCAGAATCTGAGTCCCATCAATGGGATTTACTTAAGAATCTTGAATCCTGGATTATCTCGGTGAGCCCTAAATGGAATCACAAGTATCCTTCTAAGACAGAAGCAAAAGGAGGCTTGACAAAAGAGGAGGTCGTGTGTCCATGGAGACAGACTGGATTGATGTGGACACAAACCAAGGGAAGATGGCGGCCACCGGAGCTACCGGCGGTAAGGAACACTCTCCCCGACAGTCCTGAGTCTCCGAGGGAGTACAGCTCTGCTGACATCTTAATCTTAGCCTGGTGAAGCTGATTTTTGGATTTCCGGCCTCCAGAACTGTGAGAATAGGTTTTAGTTCTTGTAAGCCACCACGCTTGTGGTAAAGGAGCAGGTATGCGCAGAACAGATCCACGTTCCCCTCTCCCTTGGAATTTGGAGTCTTCCTTTGACAGCACGCCAGGGAAGTTCTGGCATTTCAACCTCGGCAACTGTAGGCAGTCGCCAAGTCACTGTTACCACCATTCCCAGGTTCTCACATTTCCTGTGGAGGGGGGGTACACCTGCGTCAACGTCTGGTCCACCTTATGTCATCCTTTTTGGCTTAATAGTCTTAGAATCCACTCCCATACTTGTTCCCCAGACTCCTACCAGTGTGAAGTGATATCCTGCAACTCTTCTGCATAAGCACCTTCTCTTGGCCCCGATCCCGTATTTCTGTTTGGGAAGAAGGAGAGAGGGCAAAAAAAAAAAAAAAAAAAAAAAAAAAAGGAGAGAGGGCAGGGCATGCTATTATTTTCCAGGAAGATGGATTACAGACCTAGATCCTGAGGATCAGTTATCCCTCAAGAGAGAATTGTCTTAGGTGAAGTCATTGAAACCTTTTCTCCCCGGGGGCCTGGGGGTGGGGTAAGACTATTTCCCTTCGGACAGGAGGGGCTGCTTCTGTCGGCAATAAGAGACAAGATATCCCCCCAATGCTGTCTTAAGTTTTCTCCTGTTTTGCCCTTGCTTTCAATCTATGCTGTTTCCTGGGTGCGTACCCCAGATACCCAAAACAACTGGTCCCCCAACAGTATCTGTAACTGCCGCCACAGCCCTCGATCCTCCCAAGCGTTGTCCTGCATCAGTGCACACCAGCACTCGCGGTCACGTGAGCAAATGTGAAGTCACAGGTATCCACTTCCCCCAACAAGGAAGCTACTCGTCTATATCCATCCAAGCAAGAGAAGGGCCATCCAATCCCAGAATCCCACTTGGAGGCTGTTTCCTGGGGCTACTCATGGTTCGAATTACTGTTTATTGGGGTTTGCAATGGGACACAGACGGGCACACCAAAAGGATGGCGTGGGGAGCGCAGGCAAGGATGAAAGACACCTGAGAGAGATGGAGAAGCAGCTGTGCTAAGCACAAGCGAGATGATTCTACCAAGAAGAAAATGCAAGCAGTGGCTCCTGACCCCGTGGGATCTACACCTGAAGACGAGGGTATGTTCGGAGACGCCCGGCGGACGCCTGAAGCTGCAGGTGGTACAAAAACGATAAATGCTGTTTGTTCCTACACATGCATACCTATGCGGCAGCTTAATTTGAAAAGTAAACACAGAGATTAACAACAATAATCTCTAATAATAACAACCTACCAACAGTAACTAAGGAGCAAACAGAACAATTAAAATAACATACTGCAATACAAGTTGTGGGAATGGGATCTCCGTCTCACCCTATCTTCTTGGGCTGCGCTCACCCGTCTCGTGACGGTGTGAGGTGAGATGCCTGCGCGGGAGACGCGAACGGACGACACGGGCACTGCTAAGGCTCCTGACCGCCGACCTCCGGGTGATCCCTCCGGAGGTTCGCCTGCTTCCCGTCCGGGCTGACAGCGGGGCTGAAACCACGCCAGCCGACTGCCGAGGAGGAGGGCCTACCGCCGCTGCACACCGCTCACACCCTGACCCTATTCCCTTCCTGCCCAGTGTTCCCCTAATGGCCTCTCCCGCTTGCAAAAGCCAACAGTGAAAGGGGACTCTGGTTAAAACAGTGCAAATAATGAACCCCTGGCGTACTGAGCAGCGTGAAGGGTGGAGAGTGGACTGGGCGGGGGCGCTTCCTGCTCCTGCAACACGGGCAAGAGCCCAGGAAGGGCGCAGCAGCCACAGGAGAAAGTAGTGTGCCCTCAGGGTCCCTGCGTTCTTCCTCTTGCTCAGGCCCAGGCCGAAGAGTGGCCTTACCCCTGGCACTGGGCACTCTCTTGAGGGTGCATCACACTCAGCACTAGGCTCCCTCTACTCCTGCTTACATATTCCATAAACGCTATTTTCTTTTCTCCTAATGTTGGTTCCTTTCCCTTTCCACGAAAAATGACCCTAAAAGAACAGTGACTGTATACTCCCAGGCAGGAAAAGTCCTCTGAAGCCCTCCTTTGTCTTTTGCCTTAAAATGTGGGCAAGTTTGTTTGCTTCTTACAAATCTGTATTGCTTTTAAGAGTCTTTCCAGAACTTTAGATGGAAGGTGGGCAAGCCTAAGTGCTAGCACACCACCGCCCACCCCGAGAGTTCCGGGTTCGGCGAGCTCGTTATTCCACACGGCTGCCACTTTTAAATGACACCCAGAGACCCCATCCCGATGTTTCCATCCTAACAGGAAGACAGGATGGAAGTACACGACACTACACATCCAGTACGGACGCACGCTTCAGGAGTTAAGTGTGTACCATGACAAGTGGGAGACGTTCCTGGAGAGGGAAGGCCGAAGGGGTGACGGGGGTGGGTGGTCTTCAGCTGCGTGTGTGTTGCGGGGGGACAATTTGAAGAAAATATGGCAAAGCAGTTAAACCTAGGGTTACACACATGGCATTACTTCATATCAGCACAAGCCACCAGTGAAGGACTCCGGCAACATCATCCCTGCCCCGGGATGGCTTGTGAAAACATTCACCGGCTACCACTGGATTGTGTGGAGTTCAGACTCTGAATCTAGCCTATCTGGTTCAAATATCGAGTCCACTATTTCACGGATGCATGATTTTTAACAAGTTGCTTAATGTCACAGTACCTTTTACTCCTTCTGTGAAATGGGGATGACACAACCTACTCTGTAAGGTTCTGAGGATTGACTAGCTCGACCCTTGTGAAGCACTTACCAAGGGAGTGAGCGACTCTGTACGTGAATAACTTAAGACAAAGAAGCCACTTTGTTAACTGGACTTATGTCCAAAGACCTTTGCTAACCTCAAACCCACAAACTCTATGATGACATATTAGGTCCCCCATAAAATGAAATTCTATCTCCCCTTTGAGTCCTGGCAGATGGAGTTGTTGTCAGGCATATTTTTGATCAAAGATGCATGTACCTACATACTTCTGTATAAACCTATTTCGTTTTCAAGGTCGGATGGCAAATAGTTCAGCCAGTGAGGGGCTACCGAGTACCTGAATCTAACTGGTTTCTGAGTTTGATACTGAGTAGCAAGGACAGCGATAAATTTAACTGAAATTTTTACCCACATCTATTTGATCCCCGAGTTCTAAATGGCAAGGGGTATGTGAAGATGCGCACATACCTACATAGATCCATTTTTCAAATCAATCCATCAGTTCCTATGCAGGAAACTATTAACAGAAACCAAGGCACCTTGAGCAGTATGGCATAATGCAAATAATGATTTTGGACTCAGCAAAACATAGTTAAGAATCAAGAGCACTGTGGTCCAGCCCAGCGGAGGATTCAACAATTAGCAGGACCAAATACTGGGCTTCGGCGGGAAGAGGAGCGAAGCATCTGTCAGCAGTAGCTAAATCTCTTACATCACTCCGGGGACTGCCCCTTCCTCGTAGAAAGTCTCGAAAAACGTGCCTCCCCGTGTCCCCGCTGCTCTTAGGAAGCTACTTGAGGATACGCTAAGACAGGAGACAGAGGAAATGGGAAATCAGGGAATCCGACATAGGGGAGAGACAGGCAACCCCCAGGGACAGTGAGATGCGATTTCGGGATGACGGCTCCAGCAGCCACAGAAGGGACCAAGGCCAGGCTGGACAAAACACATTGCCCCGCATCGTTTCTTCGAGAAAACAGATGAAACCGAGAGTGCTGACGTGTCTGAACATCTGGGGAAGATATTCATACATCTAGCAGAGTCTGGGGTCGCCTCAGCAGTGAGTACACAGAAAACCGTACAAAGTCAACTGTGAACTCACGGAACCAAAAATGCCACACGGGGTGAGAATAACATCACATCAGTCCGCTGTGCACAGCGTTCCATAATCTTCCGAATCAGTCAATAACGAGAGCCCTGAATTACAATGTAATTCTGCTGGGGGCAGAAGGGAGCAGGAAGGGAGCATCCAATGGGTTGCAAGCAGAGGAACAAGCTTGACACTAGGGATTAATGTCTACACAGGCGAAAAGCCAAGTAGAAGCGACAGAAGCATGTTGTCAGAAGATAGGGTAACGGTAAAGCAAAGAGCCTGCTCTGGGGTAGGAAATCGGGGAATGAGGGCAAGGGGGTGGTATTTTTCATTCAGAAAAACAAACCTATAGATCTATGTACCTCTGTAAACTACGTGTAACTTTAAGAAACAGAAAAACAAAACATGAAATCTAGCACAGTGCCTAGCTCATAAAAATTCACGAAAGTTAACTGCTTTATTATCATGACAAGACAGATGACAGGTTTCCATTTCACCATCACATTCATGCTAGGGGTAACAATGTTTCCTATTTCGGATGCTACTTGATCTTTTAAAAACACATTACTTACTATGCTTGGGATATTTGGGCATGCTTAATAAAATAAAAAAATTACAAAACATTCCAATTTTTTTTACTAAACAAAGTATCTAATTTTATACAATCTACACACAATTCTTAATTTTAGTAACAAAAACAATGAAATTATTTCACTTCTCGATATTTAACAAGACTTTAACTCCCCAAGACATGCACGACAGCCACAGAAGTGATTCTGTCATTGACAGGATGGTCTTGGCATCTCATATATTATGTTCCCACCTTTAAGTCCTACTTGCTAAATTAAAACAGGCAAACACAATGAACGAGTGGTCCATAAAAAAGGAATAAAAACAGCCAAAAACAACACCGATGTATCAATCTCATTTGTAATTAAAGAGATACAAATTAAAAAAATAAGGTACCATTTTTCACGTATATTGGCAAAGATTAAATTAAAAAAAGGGCTCATATCTACAGCTGAGCAGGGAGAATGTGGGTGGGGTGAAGGGCTGGTCACACCTAACACTAACTGGAAGCGTGAATTACAGGGCCTCTCGGGAGCCATCTGGGAATACTCATCAAAGCTGTTAAGAACGCCAAGCCTTGTGAGCCACCTGTAGAATTTTTGGTAAGGACCTAAGCAGGCATGTACCTCACAATGTGGTTACAGTGCCATTCGCTGCACCACTGCTGATCGTAAAAACCGCAGACAATCCGGACGCCCGGCCCGGGTGAGGAGTCGAGCACCGCGGTGCACCTCGCTTGGGCCTCAGGCAGCGCGGTGGATGCTCCCCGCAAGCCTGTGCCCCCAACGGCGCCTCGGCCTCACCCAGAGTCCACTTCCCGCAGAGGCAGACACTGTCGGAGAACAGCCTTCTCAGGGATCTGAGTCATCAGGAACTGAGGGGAAACGCGGGGATCTGGGCAAGTCCTCTTCACTGACAGAAACGAGATGCGAGAGGAGAAATGGCCTTTGCAGCCTATTAGATACAATTCTACGAATGTGAGCTGAAGTTACAAGAGCAGCTCGTACAACGAGGGAGAGAAGCTGAAGGCAAAACCAGTCAAGTGAGGCTCGGGCGAGCCAAGTGCCCTCAAGGGCAGCCGGGCGGTGTGCGTGCGGTCAGGCGGCTGAGCTTCACTACAGTCGGGCACTGTCAGCTCTGGTCTAAAGCATCCCGGTACTGACCACACGGCAGAAGCCTCTAGCACCCGTCGGGCCACAAACGCACGGGGACGACCAGGAGACGTGCAGTCGGGACAATAAAACATCACACAACACTACGTTTCCATAAAGAAAAGGTGTACTAATATGGATTCCTCTGCCTAGAAGGTCTAGAAAGATACTTCGGGTTCTAGGAATCGTGATCGCCGAAAGGTAAGAATTTGAATGTTTCCTCTTTGCATATCTGCATTTTCTACTCTTTTCTACAACAAGCACTTATCACTTTTAGGGTCCTGCTACCTTTTCTACCCCTTGTCAATCCCGTGCAAATGGGGGAGAAGAAGAGGGACACACACACCGACAGCCTGCTGTTTCTAATAGGAAAAGTTGTGTTTTTTTTGAAAACTGGTTTTTGAAATAAAATTTGACACTATCAGGCATTTATTTTGTGAATACAGAAGATTACAAACAGTTTTCATTTTCCTTTGTTACTCCGGGACTCCTATCATGACTTTGTACCATTTCGTATTGGGATTTCTTCTGTGAAGCAAAAACAGTCCCAAAACGAAGGATCTTCAGGGGTCATAGGAACAGCAGATGATATTAAATCATTAAAGGTGAGAACAGTAAACTGCCTCTGAGTTGGTTTAGAATCATCTTCAGATGGAACCTAAAAGGGGAAAGAATAGATTACCTCATTGTTTTACTGCATGTTCATCTTACAATTTCATAATGAGGAAAAGGAGAAATATGGCCAAATTATTACAAGTCAGTAATATTAAGTTATAACAGAGCAGGATTTCTAGATAATTGTAATCACTCCTCGTGTTAGTGTTGCCAACATAAGTTAAGAAAAGTTAACCACCTGATCCTTGAATTTTTTTGGTACATAACCCATGGTATTTGTTTCAAATGTAGGTTTCTGAGCCACACATCCAAAAATTCTGATGGATGGGTTAAAAGGATCCCCCAAATATGTCATTTTAATAAGCAGCTAGGTTTTTCTGAGGAGGAGGGCCACAACGCAAACTTCTGAGAACTCTCTGGAGGGAAGATCTGATAAAGCCCCATCACCGCACAAGAGCTTCAGCACCTCTACGGGAAATGATTCGTTCAACCCTCCAGGTGAGCACTGTACCATGTTCTCAGACAGAGCGCCAGCCCACTGGGGGCAGGAGCTGGACTTCATACTGTGCTGTAACAAGGCCCAGTACCATTTTACATGATTTACATTTCACAACTATGCTGATGGCGTGGTTATCTCAATTTTATAGATGGGGAAACTGAGGCTCAGGAGGATCCAGCACTCCGTGCCAGCTCACACCCAGGTTACCATGGCAGACTGGGGCCTGGAAGCCAGGTCTGCCGGGCAGCACGCTCGTCCTCGAGGGACAGAGAGCATACAGCGCTCTGCAGTGTGAAGCTGAGACTTACCCACGAGGACAGGCAACCTGGGCCAGAACAGCTTCAGGTAACATCCCCTTGTAACTAAGCTATGAAGACACTAAAACCTCGGCTAATGGATCAAAAGCAGGGTTGGTGTACGGAGCTATTGTTCTAGACGTAATGACACACATACACCGGTCATGCTATGGGGCCTCACACGGGCTCCCTAAAAACAGGGACAGGCATACAGCTCCGATTCGTCTAACACTACCAGGGATTCCTTAAAACATCATTTCTGCAGAATCACAACCATGTGTAGGGAGGCTGAGGGTCCTTGACCGGGAGGGTGTTTTTGTTTCATTTCCTCAGGTAACAATTAAGAACAGAAGCAAGCAAACGCAGACTGGGACGGGGAGGACGGAGACCAGTGTTCTGCCCCACGGCCCCCAGGCGTGTGAGCCTGTAACTCTGGGAATAATTCAGGAGACTGCTATAAAAGGGGGAGGGGTTCAACCTGCCAGGTAATGCCCTTACTCAACACCCATCAGCTGGTACCTTTCTATTGCACACAGCCCCAGTTCACCGGGAAATAAGCCACTGTTAAGGGGACTAAGACTGGTTATCTTGAGTTTCTACTGAAACGTAAGTACTAGGACAATACTATCAAAATGTCTTCTTTGTAATATTCTTGAGTATGAAGAAACAGGTAACACGCTTTTAAAAAATTTCTGTGAAATCCCAGATGATCTTAAGGATTTGATAATGAAAAACACTCCTAAATCTATAATCTTAAACACCTCTAACCTGATAGAAACCGGATGACTGTTTCCATCCATAAAGAACAAACTCCACATTGATTCATGCTTTTTAGAAAAAAGTAAGAAAAATCTTAAAATCTTACAACCTGATGTCTAGATCCATCCGGTTTCCTAAGAGCCACTGCAACAAAATGGTGCTCGTCTATTTTGCTTTCCTGAAAAATAAAAGGTAATTTAATAACATCACTAAATGTGCAAACTCAGATGTACTTCTGTCTATATTTTTCAATCCCCTTTCCCTCTCTCTCTGTATACACAGGCACACACATAATCCCCCCCCGCCCCCCCCCCCCCTCTACGTCGCCACCTCGACTTCAGTATGTACCTCCTACACACAGGCACACACATATACCCCCCCAGATCCCCCCACCCATGTACGTCGTCACCTGGACTTCAGTATGTACCTCCTACTGGGACGCTCTCTCATGTAAACCACACGAGTTAACAGCTTCAGGAAGTTTCCACTGAAAGAAGACTTAAATCTGCTACCTGAACTGCAGTGTTTGTGACTGAATCCAGTAAAGTCCCTTTACAGCCTTTCCCCCTCCTAGCACCAGAGCCCACCGAGGGTCAAAGCCTGCTTTCAGTTGTCCTGTCTTGCTAGCCTTTGTGTCTGTTAGGACAATATTTTAAAACATAGGATCCACTACTGTCCCTCCTTTTTTTAATAGAACATTGCACATTTCTGGTTGGTCTGATTATGCATTTTCAGCCAGAAAACGACCTAGATGGAGAGTCCTATTTGGCCGCACATCGAGACAGTCCTCGCCATCACTGGTGTTTATTTTGGATGTACTCCAGGTGTACACGTAAAAAACTCAGACTGCAACCCTGGTTTGTAAGCATGTCATGAACTACAGCCCATGGGAACTCCATGGAAACTCACAGGTAAGCCTGAAAGAACACGCAGTTTTCTGTCTTCCACTAGGGTCTGAAACAATGGGGATGGGGCCTAGAAGAGGATATTGAGGCAGTTACCTCAGTATCTTTACAAACTATTAAAAGCACCCAAACTATTAAAGTTTCCAATGAAAAGCCACCATACTAAGGCATTCCTCCGTAAGATACCAGTTTGAAACAGGAAACTACAATCAGAAATTGGATACTCATAACTTCACACCTTAAGGTACCCAAATTAGCAAAAAAAAAAAAATGAGATTCACTAAGGACAAGTACATTTAAAAGAAGAAAAAAGTAGCTAAGTGTCAGAAGACTTAACAGGTCAAAGGTGTTTTCCCTTTAACTAAAAGCAAGCTCACAATATTTGTTATTATAGAAAAAACTGCCCTTTTTGATACATGGTCTTCCATTTTTCACACTGAATATACTGATCACGTGCACACCACGGTGCAGACACGTTTCGGCTGTAACCACTTCTACAAACCACTCAGGTGGTGAGTTCTGTGGTGTCTGCATCTGAGGGGAGTTATCAGGAGGCGTGGGCAGCCGCCCGTCCGCTGAAACACAGCACGTTTCACACCCCTGCTCAACCTACCCACACACCTACCTTGCTGGAAGCCACAACTCAGTGACACTGATTACAAAATAAAGCCTCCTCCGATCGACTCTGACCTCATCAGCACCACGTAAATATGAAATACTACAGAGCAAATATGAAGAAACCACTTCACAATGAATGACTCAGTTACAGCACATCCATACTCAACGGATCACTGTGAGGGGAGGGACTTTGCCGTTAAGTCCTTTCTGTCAAGGACAGCGCATTTAATAAATGTCAGTTGAAACAAAAAAAATGAAATCAGCAACTTAGCTACTTAAACGACGTTCATTCAGTGCTACTGAATTTAAGATTTAACTTCTAAGACTTTCTAAATTTTCAAGACTTTCCTAAGTTTATCACTTTTACCCATAAAATTTTTGTGAATACCAGAACTTCCCTATAATCTCCAACAAGCCAAAAGGGAGCACGAACATTTTGTCTTTTTAGGAGATAGTTTAGCATTAGATTACAAAGATTAATCTGCTTCAGTGAGAGCACATGTTGTCTTCTTAGTTATGTAACCCATCTTATAAAAAAAGTTTAAGCTGTAACTTAAAATTTTCAAATTTTACAATTTTTTTCAATGGCAAAGCTGAAAATATATCTGTCCCAAATATTAAAATTTCTACTTCTTTAAGCACTTTCCTTTCAATGCAAAGAATTTCTATTTCATCTAACCCCATCACTGGAACTTTTTGGTGGTGACCTTCCTAACAGCAACTGGTTATGGAAACTGAAAGCCTATAAAAAAGGACATCCCTCTTGACCTAACATTTCATTTTTCTAAAGCATTATTCTTCCAGGTGTGAGATACAATATTCAGGTAAATAGAAAGTCCTCTGTATTTGTTACAATAAATAATGGATTCTTGATTATGTCCAAGCTAGCATTTTCAGTCTATAATAAACTGAGCCAGGTCATATAGAAAGGAAAAAGTAAAAGATATAAAATTTCTGAGTTTTCTAGTCCCGAATTCTAGCTATTTCTGAGGCCCGGTGACATCAATCACTCTAATAGCCTATAATACTGTATTTTTGGCTTAAATGAGTTTGTGTTGGGTTTCTCTCTCTAGGGACCATGAACTGCTAGTGACAGAGACCAAATACAGAGAGAGACCAAAATCTTTAACCTGGCCAATTATGGCCACATGATTGTGGTCGTCTAACCTGGACCCCCTCTCAAACCCCCTCATCAGGAGACACAGTGGCCGCCTCTGGCCGCTTTCCCTTCCCATTTTACTGAACTCACTGTGACTTACCTTTCAAGTGTCAGCCTAAATGTCATATACCCCCTTCAGAGCACCAACAGTGAGTGGACTCCAGCTGTGTCGTTTCAGTGACCAGACCCCAAACCCATCTCACAGACATGCACACAATATGGGGATTCTTAGAGCAAGTGTGATAAATTTCTTACTTCAAATGCCCATTCTTTTTCTTCTTCCCCATCCAGGAACAAACGTGTTTCCTTATAAACTTGGCCGATATCCAGATTTAATGGGGATATATCGAATTCAAGCCGTTGCAATTCAAAGCCTAGTCCAACACCAATGGCTTTTATGAAGCTTTCTTTCAGTGCCTAAAATACAGAGATATTTTCTATTAGAGCATTCAGCAGGCAAAACTCTTCATAACCTCTACAGGCCCAATGCAACCAGAGTTTTAACTCTATGCTACATTAGGGCTATAAATTCTTACTATTTTGGGGGGCACCTGGGTGGCTCAGTTGGTTGAACATCTGCCTCTGGCTCAGGTCATGATCCTCAGCGGGGAGTTTGCTTCTACCCCCCCCCCCCAGGCTCATGCTCTCTCTCTCAAATAAAATCTTAAAAAAACAAAAAGCCAAAAAAATTATATCTATTTTTATACCTGCAGTAGGACAGAGACAAACCAGATGTGTGATCTTAAGATTAATCATTTAATCCCCTGGTGCCTCCATTCTGTCATGAGTAACATGAGATACTAACAGTACCTTCCTCACAGCACTGTCATGATAACTAAATGAACTACCTTATGAAAAGCATGTGTCTCCTGGCACGGAGTAAATATTACATTAGTGTTTGTTAAATAAGGCCTCATGTGTATAAGTTCCTTTGAAAACAAAAACGTTAAATATTATTTATAAATAGTGATAAATAAAAGGTTTTATTTTAGCTTTAGAGCAAGTGCCTTCTGAGCATTGAATATACATTCAATTTTCTTAAATGTGATTATGATGTAACAATGATACACAAAAATCATGAAGTTCCCAAGTAATCACCCATTTACTTCAAACACTCTAAGAACTACTGGGTAACCAAAGGACTTTTGCTCCCATTTTTAGTGAAACTAATGGATTAGCCTACACTTTTACTCTCAAAATTAGAAAGAAATTATACCCAATTCCTGTAAAACATGTCCAGTTGAGTCCACTCATCCTTAAAGCTTCTGATTGTTTCCCATTCTTTGTTGGTGAACTTTCTTTTCATAATATGAAAGAATTCTGGAATTGAACCACGACCTGCCAATTGAGGAAATGCAGAATTAAAAATAGCTGTTCTATTACCAAAATCGTTAAAAACCACAGACAGAAAGCTGCACGCCACCTTATTTTTTAATATAATCACACTAATCCTAAACAAAATGTCAGCAAATCAAAGCTGGGAATTAAAATAACACTCAGTGACCAGCAGGAGTTAGCCCAAAAACAGCACAGTTTAAAAGAAATTGTGAAATTCTGTGGATTATTAAATAATTAAGGGAAAAAACCACATATGGTTATATCAACAGATGCCTTCTGAAAATCCGATACCATTTAGCAGCCAAAAGTGGTATAAATTCTAAGTAACTAGGAGGACATTTCCTGTATGTGGTAGAGTATCAGAAATCCATTTTTTTTTTTTGATGAAGTGTTCCATGATTCATTGTTTGTTCATAACACTCAGTGCTCCATGCAGAACGTGCCCTCTTTAATACCCATCACCAGGCTAACCCATCCCCCACCCCC